GGGGAGGGGGGAGGGGGGAGGGGGAGGGGGAGGGGAAACCGGTAGTAAGAACGGTTTTGTGTAATCGATTCGCCGCATGCGGCTGTCGCGAACTTCGTTTCGCCGTTGTGACGGCTCTAGCGTTCTTCATACAGCTCGATTGCTATGCGATTATTACTTTTGGCATGATTCTACTGTTAGTTCTTTTGTTGCTGTATTTCTTACTTGCTGCCGCATTCTGCTACATTCCTTCGCGCGCGGCGTCTCTCTTGCCGCGACGATTTCGTCCCAACTGCACCACACCCCATTCATGCCGATATTAAAATTGCGGGAATCGTTTCATAATAAACTGGGGAGTACTCGTCCATATGCCCGTACCTCTATAGAGAACGAAGTGATGTATTCTGTGCACTGTGGGCTGATGAATTAAAGCATTTTGTAACAAGATAGCAAAAAGCTGCCGAGAAATACTGTAGCTGCTCTATAGCGGGTCGATGCCTAGATGATAACTGCGAACGAATGGATGCAGCTCGCTTGGAAATAACTTACTTCATATTTTTATTACTAGTGTTACTAGAAATAGAAGGGGGCGCTGCGATGCAACCATCCCACAATCTTCTGAGCATCTGACTTGTAAACAATATACGATAATCAAGTAGTCCTACCTAACTGGTTCGGATAGCTCAGGCTACAAGCCAATCACTCAAACAACCATATAACAAATGGCGAAAAAGAACTTCACAGGCACACACAGATATTATGGTAAACGTGCACAGCTGTAATAACAAGGAAATAGGCGAATTGGAATCTAGAGCGTAGCTACTTGTCGTAGTCGAGAGCTTCTCGTCGTTTCAAGCAGAAAATATTTAAAACATCATCGCACCACAAGCTTGAAATCTCCGCTCGGTGCATTTTGTGGCCAGCGAAAGCCTACTCTTGCGCGCCATTATGATGCCTGAATCGGCGCCGAAACTAGTTTTCTTGCACTAATGTGAACGGCCAGTTACCACGTCGCGGTGTAGGGCGTGCCGTTGGCTTCAGAGCGCTGCGTCTCACCATCATCCCTATCCTTCATTTCCACAACGCATTCAATCTCCTTCGACCTCTTGATTCCCACTCATCCTCCGCTCCTCACCCTCTCTCTTTACCATGCTTTGGGAAGCTCGCAATTTCATCCACGAATTCAACACAATTATCTTTTCGTTCTTCCTAGTGTGTTACGTAGCAATTGTTCATCCACTGCATGCGATAAGAAAAACTACCCCAAGCACACAAAAAGCTTTAACGAGATCATCGCTCAGAGTCATAGTGTCTACAAATGAGATATGTTTAACGATTCGCAGAGCTACCATCAAATTTTACTTACTTTCGTCGGCAGAGGAAAATTGAAGACGGTAGCGGAGTTACTGAGGCTTCGTGGGCTTCTCGAACCAGTATCAACATGAATGACGGCTTTACTCTTGAACACGCTCGATTTAGGGCTCATTGGGCCATTCGATACAAGGCTCTTTTCCTGACTTGGAGCACTGGCAATTTGTAACGCCGGCGTACCGGGACGTTTTTCAAATTCCGTTATTCGTGATGCCACACTGCCGGTCACAGGTATAGGGAAATGCGGGCTCACACGTAGTCCCGAACGGAAAACGTTGTACGGCTGCACTCCCGCATTTGATAGCTGCTCTTTAATGTTATGTTTCGGCTTTGGATGCGGAAGGCCTGATGGAGATGGTATCTGGTACACTGACGACGTTTCGCTGTTCGAATCGGTGGGACTGGAAGAGTTCATTTTTCGTGACATCGTACTAGCGACATCAACAACTCGAGGAGGACCGTGCACATGGTCATCTGTTGGAAACCGTGCGCATCCGCCGAGCTGTCTAGCTTTATTAGAGTTATAAGTTGTACGCACGCCACACTGCAACTCCCGTACAGCATTGTCTAGATCGCGAAAGTTCGGTAAGGGATCTTGGAGATGAACCGAAGGCGTACCGGGTCGCTGGGGAGCTGCATTTCGATGTGGTGGAATGTATGTGGAAGCCGAAGACGCCTCGTGTAAGTAATGCGCACGTCTGGCTGCCAACTGTGCACCGGTACCCGGCTTATTCATATTACTAAAAGATGAGTTAGTATCTTCTTGAAGCATCTGCAAGCGCTCAGCAGCTGTTAGGCTGCCGGGTATCCGTTGGATCGTCCGCGATGATGATCGGTTGTTGACAGTGTTACTCCAGAAACTGTCGATTGCGCCAGATTTTCTCAGTTCAGGAGCTTCAGCGGCACGACGCTCAATAGCTGAGTTTAACACTGACCTTTCGGACCTGCTCATCTCGTTATTGCTGGCGGACTTCAGCATCAACAACGAACCGCAACGTCGTGGTAACGTCGGCGCCCCGGAGCTTGTGAAACAATGAAGCAGACCACTGTCTCCTGTTTCTGGCGGCAGGTTCTTGAATCTGAAAATTTGCAGTGCTGCAGGAATGTGGTGAGCGAAAACACTAGAATATAAAAAAGCTTAGTGGGTTTCAGAACCCTTTAATACCTGTTTTGCACTTGTGCAAATGAGTTGCTCCATTCCGTTGTCGATCGATTCATATTCTCTTCGAGTACTGAAGCCAATAACGAATCGAGCTGTGTCACGTCGAAATAATCTTCCCAGCGCTTATAACTTGCAGTAGGAGTGTCGTTGTTGTTTAGAAGATCAGTATGAAATTTACGTTCAGATCGATCACCAACTTGTTTTGCTGTAGAAACGGAGTTCTGTGGATGCAGCGTGCCAACACCGTTTGTGTATCGTAACGTGTTGCTGGGATTACTCTCCCTACCTCCACCACTACCGCCGCTTGAGTGCGAATGTGTTGGTGAATGATTGAAGTCGCTGTAAACAGAGACGTTCAGTGGGTTTTCACGAGGCAAAAGTGCTTGGCCGTTCAGAGGTAACGATTGAGTGCGATGCGGTGATGAGAGGTTGACATAGATTGGCTGCTGTGTCTGATACCAATGCTGCTGTTTATGGGGATGATGTGAGTGCACCTGCTGACGACGATGTTGCTGTTGTTGCTGCTGTTGTGATTGTTGCTTTGGCACAGAGAGTTCAACCAGCGGATAGCCAGGCACTGCGTCCGTGGGACGATAGGAATGTGTGTCGACGGGTCGTTCGTCAAGACGATAGATGCGCTGCTGAGCGACCGCCGTTGAGCCAACTTTAGATGAATACACAGACTGTTTAGCTGATGGATAGCGAGAAAGCAGATTCAGGAGCGCCGAGCTACTCGACGGAGAGCGCTCCCGCAGGTGCTGTGTGAAATTGTGGGCGGCGCTATTAAACTGCAGGGAGAGCTGCTCCTCAACTCGCTCTCTGTACGACGGAAGCTGAACCGTGCTCGACGCAGGTCTTCGAAGATGTGTCACTGACTTGTCGTCGAAGCTGCTGATCTGGCCTGAATTGCGCCTTGTGCCACTGTCGACGTCAGTGATACAGTACGGCTCTAACGATGCTGACGCAGTCGACATTAACAGTAATGTGGATGGGTCGTGATCCTCAGAGAACAATCGACGTTGCACAAATGAATGTCGTCGTGTGTCGGCACTCTGGGATCGCGGGCGATACTCATCAACATATGAAGTTCTCGTCGCTGATAAGGACTGCACAGGAAATGGTGGCGTATCGTGATGAGCATTATTCGGAGCAGTAAACGGGTCCGGACGAAACATTACAGATTCGCTTGTCCCAACGGCGTTGCGCACGTGATCGTATGTCTGCAACTGGATGCATCGAGTCATCAAGAACTGATCGTATTTGTTCGCAACGACGATTCAGTGTATATAGGCAAAAGCAAATACTTGAACCCCTATGAGAAGTTGATAGTGCGACAAATTCCACAAGCTGGCTCTATGAATGAGCAGAGATGGTAGGAAAAGGGGTCAGGGTGGCACACAATGTCGCAAAAACTGGTGGTGAATGATAGTGACTACCCAAATATTTATAATGGAGTAAATGTTTACACAGGTTCTGCGTGATGCGTGAGGGTTTTCGGACCCGCTCAAAAGAAACTGATTACCTCTTTCATAAAAACTAGAGGCGAACTGCAGAGGAAATACTTAACATGTATCAATAAAGAAATTGGGATTAGTGGAAAAAGTATATGAGAATTGGCGTGGAACAATCTGAAGATGGCAATAGTAAAATCAACCGTTCGAAAGTTTATCATGCTGGAGATGACCCGTCATCTTAATTGGATGAGTGGTCGCTATGATGAACATTCGAAGAGAGCGAAGATTGAGGCTGAACTTTGTATAGTGACCTTTACGAAAAGACAGAAACACTGAAAAGTAAAGGGTAGAAGGGATGGTTTTAGAGAGGTTAGGTTCAACCCAGGAATAACTAACCTCATAAGACACAATCAACAGAAAAGTTGCTCAACCCCAAGGGACTCCGCTCACTATTACTAAAGGAATTATAAATATATCAGGCACAGTGACAAGAACCACCGTCACAGAACTCCCCTAACAGTCATTTCCATAAAATCATCCAGTTTTTCAAAAGTCTTCGTAACGAGAATTTTGACCTTAGCATACCGCTTATTTGAAACCACCGAGCAAGCGCATTACAGATAGCATTTCGAGAAATACTCTTATAACATATGCATCATCATTGTGACCAAAGAGAATTAAAAAGAATAGTGACAACTTAAATTGCCCAGACAATCTGATAATTTCAAGAAGTTTGTAACAAGAAGAAATCACTTGACCGAACATTAATACCCCGTCAGGCCCTCCAGTTGAATGTCGCAATATCTTAAAGTGGCGACAAAAAATCCACGAGAAAGATCGCAAATCGATAAGTTGGTAACTGACCATCAGCTTATAAATCGTGTTGGCTCGCAAATCGAGAACGGCTCTAGGGCAACCGTCAGCGCCGGCGGTATTGTTACAGCGTGCGTGGCGGCTGCTTGCATTCCTCCGCAGTCTGTGACGAACGGGCTTTCCTACTCCAACCGAACTCGTGAATGTGTGTGTATGTATGTGTATGTGTATGTGTATGTGTATGCGTATGTTTATATGTATGGGTATATGTGTGTAGTATATAGGTGTATATGTATGTGTTTATGTGTGTATGGGTGCACATGTGTGTACATATATGTGTGTGTCATAGTACTGTGCTCCTTTTTATTCCTTATCCTTAACCGTCAGCTGCTCCTCGATAAGCCGCCAGCGCTGAGATGCTTAAGAGAATGTCGTCTGCTAGTGGTCCTTTGGAGGCACACTTCACGATAATTCTGAGGCATTTAGTTTAAGTGAATTAATCAAAGCCATGGTGGAGAGTAGTGCAAGGGTGGCGATGAAAGCGCCAAGATCGGCAATTTCGGAAAAATAATACTTTAGAAGGGTTGTACGAGATCGCCGTTTTTAATGGTCTAGGTGCCTCCCAAATAGGCTTGTTATTTATCGCGTCCTAATGCCTCACTGTGAATAGTGCAGTCCCAACAATGCCGTCCACTTTGGTGTGAATATCGGTTGAATCGACCTTGGAGTCCTTATTACGGTGTCTAGGCCGTTTTTTCGACCCGACAACGTCCCATGTATTAGTTTTGGGTGGCACAGGTTCATCCCAGAAGAGAATCTCAGAAACCATTTCTACCGTTGTTTCTTTGAGTGTTGCCGGTTATTAAAAGGGAGTCACAAACAGCCATAATCTATCCAATACCGTGACGCAATGTGCCCATTTTCACTAGTGTGAAAGAAGCCTGCCAGACCTCCGCTCTTCATCGCTTGGTTGTTCATCCGTTGATTTTCATGGACGTTGCAATATTTTTAGGAGCAATCTTCAATATATGCACTCATTTTATGCTGGCCTACACCACTAACAGGTGGCTATCAAGAAAAGTGCAGTTTTGAAAATATCAGCTTTAATGATATAAATATATGCATCAGCGGATAGTTAGGTAGAGATAAATTTGGAAAAAAAGAAAAGAACTCATATAGATGACAAGATACACTGTAGAGTAAGATGAGATGCATCGAAGATTACATTAGGTGAAAGTAATGGGCCGCTATCGTGCTGTTCTTACATAATTTGCTCCGCTAGCATATGGATATCTGCATAAATTGGATCACGCCACATGCAATAACAGACATGTTGAAAAGTTGAAGTAAATTACTACCTGTCGTGCTTCCACAGGAAATCGATCAGAAAACGATATCAATTAAAACATACCATTAACGTGTGCCTTCTGTACTTTATCGCAGCAGCAATTTACGAAGTTTCCAAGTGAAATTATTCAATAACTTCGGAGCCCTAAATTAGTACTGCATGGTAAGGTTGGTTAGAGTGGCCACACATTTATTATCACTTGTTTGTATTCACTTCTCCCGCTCCGTGGTTTCCACCCGTTACCTGTGACAACGACTTCAGCATGGTGGATAAGTTATACTGCTGTTCTCTTCATGCACACCGATACAGGGACGCTCTGTAGAAATTTCAACTATTTTTAATAATAACACTAGACACACTGTCACAGGCAAAGGTGCACGCGTGTTTCTAGTGTTTTTCACAACGAATTACCTACTCCTCACTTCGTCAACCAATACCAAACCTGAAAACGGAGAGGCTGATAGCAAGAAACGTAGTTAGTGTAGGAACGTTTGAGAAGGCATATAATGGAACTCTGTTATTTCTTCTCGAAGCTTAAACCAACTGCTGTGAAAGAAAAACAGTCGATTACTAATACCAGGTTGGCACCGCGGACTGCATCTTTATTCTACTTTTGCTAGGCAAAATATGTAGACGGATATTACAAGTGATTGATAAATACGGTAGATTGCAGTGATTCTTATCTCTGCATTAGTTGCAACGATTAAAGCGGTAATACAACAGTTCTTTATTCTGCTGAACCAAGGTGCTTGTTGCTTTCACTCCACAGTACATTCACACTGGGGCAAAGGAACTTGTTCAGAAAGCTGACGTAGAAGAGCGACTTCACAACAGGATCTCGAAGGCTAGCTACATGAGTAATGCAGAGGAATCTTATGCATGGAAATGTTGATAATGACAACTCCTTGCAAAATTTTCAAAGTGATTACTCATTCACTGTAACTCTGTCTCGATTTTCGAAAACCAGTTTGCACAAACAGCGAATCATCAAGTAATGCTGCAAAAACCATAATTATCGACCGCAGGAAAATGCAACTGGGAGTTTGTTCCCTAAGTAGAGAGTGGAGCAATATATACCATGCGTAGGACATCATAGTCCACTAATGTGCAGAACATCCTGAGTGCACACATTATAGGAATTTCGGGAAATGAGTTGCAATCAGGCCGACTGGAAAGCCTTCGCCACATAAACAAGGTGAGAATCCTTCCAAAATCAGCTGTGGTTGCATTCTTTTTTCATTGTGTTGATCTCGTCCAGCCCTGTGCTAGCAGTGACTTGTCAACCCACCCACTCTCGAAGATTTGCCAGCCAGCTGCTCTTGGGCTTCAGTGAAATAGCATAACTACAGCCAGCTTAAACCAGCTCTTACTAGAGTAGCTATCAGTGATACCATGATGCTCATATCACCTACTCACCAAAACAGTAGGTAGTGTTAGTTGAGCAAGGTTGAAAAGTACCTATTAGAATTAAGAGTAGCCCAGCTTAACCAATCATAACCTTGAACATGGAACCTTATTTATAGGGCAAGGCCAACAGTTATCTTGAATATGAAAAAATTGACGAGCGCTAAAAACGTAATAATTTGCAAACAGCTCATAGATTAAACGCTAAAAAATGTTGATCATACGACGAAAGGTGATCAACTGAGCATAGTCAGGGTTCTCAACCAAAGGCATACTAGCACGTAAATCATCTAATACGGATGCACACTTGTTGTCGAACCGCTCCGCCATCTTCAATTAATGAAATCCATCTCGCCCTCGGCAGTTAGGAAAATTCAGGAAAACGAGAAGAAAATAAAAGTGATTCCCGCCTCGAGCTTTTGGAGATACGATCCATCACCATCACGTCCTGGGATACAAAGGGAACTCGGAGAAAATTCGCTGAACACTTGAAAGTTGGCAAAATGAAATGATCTGCATTCAACAGTGAACATCGGTGAAGACTTGTTCACCTTTCGGATTTCAGAGAAATCGCAGGCAGCGTTACTCGAGACCTTTCAGACGACCTCGGGGTCTTGCTGCCACGTGGTGAAGGAGGGATTCCCTCAATAGGCTCTGGAAGAAATACTCAAAAGTAGTTAAAACAGGAAAAAACTGAGAGGTATTTGACTAAAGACGAATATATATCTATACTCATGGTAAGCCCGGGGATTTCAGCGAAATAGTTCGATTTTTCAGTCGATTAGCCGAAACGCGTCAAGGTTACGATGAACTTATCCACATATTCCTATTCGGTTCTTAGTGTCTCGTGAGGCGCTGCCTCCGCCCATCAGCCTTAACTCACAAAAAGTAAAGCCACAGAACCTTAGAACGGTGCAACCATCTCGAAAAGCAAATAGAAGATAGCAAGGAAGACAAAAAAAACCTACTCGAAGACGGTTCCGACATGCTACTGTCGCTCTCCAGAATCGGCGATAAGTCCAGATGCAAAGCCTTATAGAGTAAAAGTGATCATTACTTGTCTAGCGAACAGAATTGATCAGTGGTAATAAACATACTTGTCGATGGCGATTTGATGATGGTGTCGACGTTTCGTGATCATAATTATCTTAACGTTAATCCGTAGGATTGAAGGAATTTTTGCCAGTTACAGCACAATGTTCATGTTTCACTTACCTCTAGTAAAATATGAGATTGGTGAATCATAACTAAGTGACGAATTGTCTTCATCATTAGATTTCTGAAAATATGGATATTTCCTAATATGTACCACGTCATAAGTCCCTAACGATGGCTTCCACCACAAGCAAGGAATAAGTTTAGCACTGCATTTCAGTGAGCAGAAAAAGTAATATGCCCAACTCGACAATCAGCAATTGTTTCAGCCGGGGAACGAGAAATGTATGTGACTTAACATGTTTGTTTAATGCACTATGCCGTTATCTGAATTTGCAAAAAAAAAAAAGAAAAAAGTCGCACTACTCAAGAATCCCCCAACTACATTCAGATACGAGATGTTCCGAAAAACAAACAAAATCGTCCAAATGAAACATTACATACTACACAGCTAGGTGATCGAATCATTTTTCCTCGAAACCGTCGTAAAACGCACAACTGTGAGACGAATGCGTCGAGACTTGTAGCAGTAACCTACAAAAATTTTAGTACTATGAAACTATGATAAGCATCACATAAAGCGTGCAATGTTTGGAGAAGGACAGCACTTACACTGAACCTTCGGGAGCTCGGCTTGTCGCGCGGCATCATTAAGATCAAAGGACCAGCCAATCAAAGTGCGATCTACGAAGAAAAGGTCTCGTTTTGGTACCGGATCCACTCAATACAACCTGTAAATTATTTGCGAACGACTCAACGTCATACGATGTAATATTGGTATCGAATGAATATTTCCCAATCGAGATGCTCGCATTTAACAGCAAATAATAGGCGACTTGAAGCTTCCACGAGAAGCGTCACGGTTTGTACTATAAAACACCTCATGGTTGCTTTCAGACTTCGATGTCCGTCCGTCCGTCCGGCGCGTGTGTGCTTCGACGGCGGCGCTAGATAGGTGTTGACAGCACTAGATCACGTGCAAGCGCTGTCAACACCTATCTTGCGCCGCCGTCGCAGCACGCACGCGCCGGGCGGGTAACGGAACTTTTCCCCGATTGCGGCATGCGGCAAATGTCACTGCGATTACCGTACTCACCCCGCCCCCCGCAAATCGATATGACGCGATATTTTTCGTTGGTTGCCTTTCTTCTTTATTGGTTTTGATCACTTTTTATCTTTCTTTTCTTGTTTCTTTATGTGTATTAGACTTGGTCAATTAGAATGACTCCTCATATATTAGCGGCGATCAATACCGCATTGGAATTGGAGGGAGCGGTCAGCCAATTCAAATAATTAAAGGATCCCCTACCTCACAAATTGCGCGCTCCAATCTTCCGTCGCAATCCTGCGATACGCGGCGGGTGCGGCGTGCGCGACGCCGTCTTCGGGGAAATGTTCCCGGACCCGNAAATGTCACTGCGATTACCGTACTCACCCCGCCCCCCGCAAATCGATATGACGCGATATTTTTCGTTGGTTGCCTTTCTTCTTTATTGGTTTTGATCACTTTTTATCTTTCTTTTCTTGTTTCTTTATGTGTATTAGACTTGGTCAATTAGAATGACTCCTCATATATTAGCGGCGATCAATACCGCATTGGAATTGGAGGGAGCGGTCAGCCAATTCAAATAATTAAAGGATCCCCTACCTCACAAATTGCGCGCTCCAATCTTCCGTCGCAATCCTGCGATACGCGGCGGGTGCGGCGTGCGCGACGCCGTCTTCGGGGAAATGTTCCCGGACCCGCGCCGGGCGGACGGACGGGTGAATCGTTGAAGCCTGAAAGCAGCCTGTCGCGACGGCGGTTCTAGAAAGGTGTTTACAGTGTCTGGTACCTATCGATACCGCAAGACGGGATGATGAAATTAGTCATCCCCTTGTCTTGCGGTATCGATCGGTATTCAGCGCTGTCAACACCTGCTAGAACCGCCGTCGCAGCACACCAACACCTGTTTAAAACCGCCGTGGACGGACGAACGTCGCAGTCTGAAAGCAACCTATGTGAGCTAATGCTATTCTTTAGAACGGTAGTAACCGCCGAGACTGCTGAAACCATGCTGTTACTTAGCACTGCACTATTGTGCAATCGGCGAACAACATCCACCTGCAATCTTTAAAACAAAGTTTCCAAAGATATAGGGTACGACATTAGAAAGCATATAAAGGGGTAATGTAACAGGGGTTAATTATCCTTACTATATATAAAGCGCTCTGTCTGTCTGTCTGTTTGTTTGTACGGAAATTCGATATAAAATGAAAAACTTAGCGGAGCTCCGTCCCCAAGTGGCGGGGCATGCGCCGGCATTGGGCGGGGACATGGGCAAATTCTTCTCAGTCGGTCTCATAACAGTCCAGACGTCGGGAAAAATTGTGTAAAGATGGGGTGTGGGTCAACCATTTAAAAAAAAAGGAAACTTACCCGCTGTGGGCGGAGCGTTCTCGCAATGGACGATACTTCAGAGATCCATAACTCGATTCAGCGAAGGCGTCGAGGCCAAGAAAAAAAATAAACGAGTGAGCAAGGCCTTATGCGTGCTGGGCATGCGTAAGCTTAGCAAGGCCCCGCCCACGATGGGCGGGGCGTGCGTTAGAGTGGAAGCTACTTTTCAAAAATGACTGTAACTTCATTCAGAAACGTTCTAGAATGCGTGAAAAAGTGGTTGGAGGCAATGGAACAAATGTGGTCAAATCCTCGAAGTGGACGGGTATCGTCGTCCAAGGCGACGATCACCTCACCTTAACTATCTCGTCGTCTCACTGTCTGAGACGACTCCCTCTAGCTTAACCCACGCCCCTAAAATGTGCGGGGTCAAGCGGCCCCGAGATAAGTGGGTCCCTCACTTCTACCTAACGCAACAGCAAAGGCAGCACGTAAGTTTGTGTCGTTCAGATAAATACTTATTTACTCACTTTCCTTCTGTGCATTTCATAGCGGTAACGACCGCGCTTATTATTACATTTGCTGTATTTTCACTCTGTTATCACCGGAGTTATTAGTATAAAACCATGAACCGCCATTACAGGGGGTTGGCACCAAAGGGGGCGGAGCTTGTATCAAAAAATTATTATTCTATTCAGAAACGTACTGGGATGCGGCCAAAAGGTGTTAAGGTGTAGAAGAATAAATTTGGCCAAATCCCAGAAGTTGGCGGGGTTGGTGCTAAAGTGGGCGGGGCTCACATCAAAAATTTATAACTCTATTTAGAAACGTTGCGGGATGCGGGAAAGAAGTGGTAAGGTGCAAAAGAACAAATGTAGTCAGATCTCATAAGTGGGCTGGGTTGGCACTGAAGTGGGGGGGGGGGCTTACATCAAAATTATCAGGTCTCTCCAGATGCGTTTTAGAACGCGGGAAAAAGTGTCTGGAGGTAATAAAAGTAATGTGGTTCGAAATCTGAAGTGGGTGGGTTTGCAAAGAAGGGGGTGGGGCTGAGATCAAAAATTTATACATCTGTCCTTGTTTACATCTTTATACACACAGGTGCACAACTAGGAGATACCACTAAATTCTTTCAAAAATTAGGCTAAAAATTTTCTAAGAGATAGTATCCATGGTTCCACACACAGTGGTCCCTTCTACACAAGAGCAAATGCACTGCATTAACTTCAGACCTCATGAAATAAATTCTACAATAACCCCGGCCACAGAGGTGCATACCCTCTAGAGACGTGTAAATCCCCACAACTGTCCAAAGGGGCTGTCCCTCAAAGTTAGTGTTCATGGCCACACACAGCGCAAACTACGCAGTTTCTTCGACTACATGGGCTGCAGAGGTATTCGATTTGGATACTCGGAGTACTCCTCATGGCCACACACAGCCTTCACAGGAGTACTCTTCATGACCACATACGGCCCAAAGCAAGATATTTATTATTTAAGATCAGAAAAGGTTGAAGTTATTGCTTGATTGATCTCTGTCGCCCTTGCTCAAGAATATTGTGTATACAGAAGTTTTGTTTTGATAAATTACAAAATGTTTCAAAAACAAGTGTTATGTATAGCATGCTAATACTCTAGCCGAACTGGGCAAACTTTTCTAATACACAACAAACACCCTTTTTGAACTGCTTGCCGGTCAGTCCGAATTTTCGTGATCTAGCGAAAAAACTTCATGCTTTCCATGAGACAAAAAAATTGTGGCCGCCACAGAAGTGGCAGGGAAGAGGCACAGATGATAAAGGGTCTATAATGAAAATCAGAAGCTCATGTGGCTCCGTCCCTCATGGTTAGAGCCCTCAGTGCACGCCACAGCGTGCGTAGCAGCCTGGTTCATTATGAAAGGGCCATACATCAGCGTTCATCCTGATTCATGTAGATTTCAGAGAGATAGAGAGCCCTTTCCCAACAAACGGAGCTCAGTGTCCCACTCACTGGTCAGTACTTTCATTCTTTTCAATGAACCTTCAATGCCAATGTTGGCTGATCGGCTAAACACGTTGTAAGTGTGAGTGCTGATGTGTGTATTAATGGCTTAAAAGTCATTGGAGGCACAGTTCTCGATAAAATTGGTTTATGAAATCTCTCCTCAGAGTGGGCCTGTGTCCAGCAAAAATAGCACGGGGGGACGGTGGTGGGTCAAAAAACGGCCTAAGGCATGAAAGAAGCCCCAAAACCGGTTCAACCTACGTACACACCCAAGGCGGACGCAATGGGTCCTTTCAGACTTCACCGACTTGCGTTGTTTCCACCGGACGACAGACCAACCGACGGCGTTGCTGGCCATGTGTTGACAAAGCAACTCAGGATAGATTGCGTTCAAGGCCGCATGGCCGCCGAAGGGAGGGCGCGCGGTTCACGCGTGACCCAATTAGAGCTCGTTGCGCGCTGTATCTCTTCAGTACCCTTCTGTTAAGATGGACCATATAAGTCTTGCGGTAGTCCACGGCTTCACCATGATTAAGAGCAAATCTCGTTACTGTGACAATGAATCCCCTTCGATATTTAGAATTCACTGCATAGGTCAAGTTACTTGTCAAACCTTCAAAATAAGAGTGACTTCAATTTTTCGATCCTAGAAAGCGCGTTCCTTCTATAAACCTGCCCAGTTGGTCATTTATGTTTTTCCCTTTCTTTTTCTTTGTTTTAAATTCTTATTTCTTCCAATATAATGGTAGGCATGATGTTATAGCGCGTCTCGTCCGATGACCCCATTATACTGACGCGTGAATCGCACCACACTGCCGCCGACGTGCGTGATGATATGTACTCAGCGTTGTTAACACGTGGCAAACAACGCATCCGGTCGGCGGAAACAATGCACTTCGGCGAAATTGAAAGGGGTGAGTCAATTTAGGTCCAAATCTACTTACTTCGCACCTTCCTCGCCCATCCACTCGCTCGCCTGTGGGGGGGGGGGGGGGGGTGTATGTTGTGAGCCAACGGGAGCTCGCCACCGAGGACGGCAGCCCCAAGCTTTCTTTCTCTCTGGGGGCGAAGCCCTGAACACCACGACTATATCCTCTTTGATCTCAGCCTGTGTCTCATGTTATGTAATTATTATGTTATGTGACTGGTCGTTATCATGTAATTTGTTGATTCCTATTTTTATATGATTGTCTTATTTTGATGTTATTAGGATAAATTATATATGATCTAACAGTTTCCTACAGAAGCAGAGACCGAACCCCTGTGCGCGCGAGCTCACTGGTAGCAGCGAGTGGTTCCCCCCTCGCTGTAGGAGGTGAGTGGATGGTCAGGTGATTTTTAGGTGTCTTGGCGTGACTGGAATGGATGTGAAGGGGCCCGCTTGTGTCCAGTTACCGGCCGTGGCTCGTTTTCAGCTTCTCTCGTCCTCCGGACAAGGAATGTACCGTACCGCTGCAGTTGTCGCTTGCTCTTTTAGGAAGTTTCCTCTCTGGCTACGTTTTTTGGTCCAGCTGCACTATTTTTTCACGAGTTAGGAAGTCGCATCTGTGAGCCAGCGTAGAACGGTATTCCTTGCCGTGACGAACGATCTTTGTTTAGACTTTAGAAGTGCGCTACACCCGTGACAGGGGTCGAAAACTGTCAGGCGCCTTGCAAGAAAAGAAGCACTTTCGGAAGGAAGTCAACTAAGAAGTAAGTTAGGAAGTTCGTCCCAGGCCGTAGTAAGGTTGTGAAATGATACGCTAACGTTCGGAGTAAGCCGTGCATCGCCGAATTAAGTTGTAGTTGGCAGCTATTGATCTGTTGATAGGTAATTCTGGGGACGTTAAATCGTGTTTGTGACAGCGGCGAGAAAAGGTTAAGGTAGGCCTACTAGAGGAAGCATGCGGATTCACCCCGCTTCGAATGTAAAAGACTTTCCCGGGATATATTTATTCAACTGCAAAATAACATATAAAAAACAAAAAACCAAATTAATTTCAAACGGCGTAAATTCATGGTTGTGAGCTAAACGAGTCTCATTATTTTCAACATCGTGCTATCCTCTTAACAAGTTTCACTCGTTATGGACCTGCACGGTCCGAGTCGAAGAGCAGCTTTTGAGAGTATCTCGCCACGTGGTTAATGTACAGCCGCTTTACTGAATCAGATCCACTGATAATTCACTGTCCCTTCTATCTTAGTTTGGCCGGTCCCCAAAGTTCCATATTAGGAGGCGTGTGGCCATCGCCTCCTGGCGATCTTGAGCATATTGTCATCGGCGGCACTGACTTTTGTCCGCATATGGTGAGTCCATTGAGAGGAGCATGCCAACACATACCCAGCACACGAAAGAGATAATCGACAGAATCAGGTCACGCCGCGTCTGTTTCCTACTCGCCCTTTGGCACAGAATATATGTTACGTTCTCCGCCCCTTTCTTCTCATTACTCGTTAGCGTTACCTAGTACTATTCACCCGCTCTCCTATCGAGACTAGGGTCTATTTACTCAACCCTTATTTATATCTTTTTATGTAATTCTAACTCCGATAATTGATATTGCTCGTACATAACGCGTATCTTTACCCTCGTTTTGTGCTTTCACCTGATCTTGACTCCCGGCTCGAACGGCATCATTTCCAGCCGTTGAATTTTTGAAACGCCTTTCCTCCACATGCCGCTCATTGTTCCCTGCGGCAGCAGTTTATCGGAGCCATCAAAGATCAAGCGCTGACTAGGGTGACTGTTCCCATTGAATGTTTTGAATTTTTTTGTTGTTTGTTCCCAAGCCTCATCATTCATGACATCAGCATGAATCAGATTCTAATCAGTAACATAAAAAGAGAGTTCAAAGCAGCTGTGGGAATTGACTCTCCAGGATTACTGTAGCGGCCTCTCATTGGCTGTCTCCGCCCACCCCGACACATTCAAAAAACCATACCCTTCTACATTCATTTATCTTCCAGTTGTTCCTGAAGCTTGGTTTTCTCTTGTGATCTTTCGTGACTGTGTGTGGGATCATCAGACCCCCGTGTCCCGGTCCCAGTCGACCGAATCTAGGGCTGTAGTTGCCCTGACGCCAAGACCAGATTAAGAAATGCTGGCTTCCGCTGACCTGGCGGGAGCGTTAGCGGATCTCGATGACCGCGCTACAGTTCGAGGACGGGACGCCACGGTACTCGTCATAGGAGAAGTTCGAGATGAAGCCGGAGCGGGGGCGACAAAGCTCGCTCAAACTATTAACGAAGGCAATTCGAGCTTGCTCTCGGATCTGAATAACACGTTCGCAACAGTAGGTGAGCGCATTGATTTTCTACCGTTATGGCTACGGTGAGCCCAGACGGCCCCTACCACGCATATTACTGTTTTCTGGACCCGGAGAAGACCCCCTCCAGCTTTCGTTGTGGCTAAGACGCCTGGAGGACATAATGCGCATGAGATCTTCCGCATGGACATCTCAGCAAAAGGCATTTTTCCTGACGGGGTTCTTAGATGGCGTAGTCAGGGAAGAAGTCGAGGAACTTGCGGACGATGAACGAGAAGATTATTCCTCGGTAGTCGCGCATCCGAAGAAGTCTTTTGAAGGTCCTCAGCATCGATATATGGCCCGTCAAGCCCTGTCTTCCTGCCAACAACAGAAGGGAGAATAAGCATAAACTTTTGGTAATAGGTTTTTGCTGTTGGTTCAGGCAGCCACCTCTGGGCAGGACCCGGCTAGTCAGAAGGACAGGGTGCTCGAAAAGTTTGTAGCGAGGCTGCGACCCGATATCCGCTATTATGTGATGATAGTGATAATCCGGCAACATTTGAGCAAGCTGTCGCGAAATCCCAAATGGTCGAGCAACTGCTGGCTGAGATCACTGCTGACCGTCTCATTAGGCCCTCTATGGAAGTAAAAGCGGCAGCACCTGCGGAACAAAACTTCAGGCGTCAGAGTTATGAAAGGCGCAGAAGCCCATTTAACCGCGGGCAGCTACAATTCAGTCAACAATCAAGAGAGTGACTGCCCGCGCGTCCTGTGAGAGCGGAAACGACGACTAATTGTTTTAATTGTGGAGGTATTAGTCATTTTTCTCGCCAGTACCCGTCACCTCGTGTGCCACGCCGAACCACAGGTGAATCTTCGTTACGCAGTTTATCGAACGACCGTTATTTTCCCGAATCTCACCCCGTAAAGGTATTCCGCCTTCTCGTTACGATAGGGATCGAGAGCTTTCGCAGGCTAGCGATCAGATCAGAGCCCTCTCTATTTCTTTGCAAGGAAATCAATCCGCATTGGAAAGCTCTGAGGCTAGGGTCAATGCGTTAGTAAAGCGTAATGAGGAGTTAGCGAACTCTGCTTCCGGCCAATCTTACTCTCGTTCGTCTTCCATTCCGATGCCCCAAGTTAAGCTGCTTTTCGCGGTTTCTATGCTTTCATGTTTCGCATCAAGCGAAGCACTCTCGAAGTCGGCATGGTTATGCCCGCGTGACCCAGCTGATGCACTTGCGCGCATCCCAACATTGTATAATTGTTCATGGATCACTCCCCCGGTGGAAGAAACCCCTAAGGCGCTGTCGGCTCATATTTATCGCCCTAATACACGGCGCTATGACACTGCGGCCGATCTGTGCAAAGTTGTCACTCAGTCCGTTACCTTCTCGGTGAACTTTTTCGTACGCGCATCACCAAAACACTACCGAAACTCACTCAGTAATGTCCCTCGAGTCTTGCAAGCTGATGATCCAGCATCATAAGTGAGAGTACGTTAGCATGACCCAGTAAAACGACTTTTGGGCAACCTCAAATTCAATTATAATTAAATGTTCCTCGGCTCCTTTTGGGAGTTGTTCGGAGCGCAACGTTGCGGTTTCCAACTGCTTTCTTATCTCAGCCGTTGTACACCTGCGCCATGGAGCTGCCTCTCCCGATTCCTCGGTTGGAAGTCTAGCCCAGTGTACCTACGAGTCAGGTGATTGCATGCTCCAGGACGGCTCAATCCTTCTATGGACCCCCAACAAGCAAGAGTCGTGTAGGCTCTCACCGGTCATGAAAATGAAGGGCCGCCAATTGGGCGAAATTTGGATCAGTGATTCTAAGGAGTTTGCACTATCCTGGCGAGAATCCAGCAATCGTGTTCTAAATTGCGGAGCACGGCTCATCGTCTCGGATCAAGGTTACGCTGTTGCAACAGTCATCCGTTCTACGAAATCGACAGATGTGGGCACAGGTATAGTAACTTCTAATCAATTGGCAGCGCAGCTGCTGGCGGTGGAGGGCTAGGTGAGTTCAGCTGTATCTTCACTTTTCCATCACCCGTTATTGTCGCTTTGTGATAGAACAAATCTCTTAGCGTTTGCTTTCCATACATCTCAAGTAGCCAACCCTACTCTCACTCTCCGTAACCTTTTGGGGCGCACTGATATCGCAGCCTCTTCCTTGAGTACCGACTTGGTACAAATTGATCGCTGCATGGCAATTCCTGCGAACAATTCGAAATCGATTCCGTTTAATGGCACTTGTTTTTCTGAAGCTTTAGTTAAAATTATTCCTCCATCTGGTACAATCATTTTATTGTTTCTTGATCCCTCTACTTTAGTTGCTTCCGAACAAGCATATCTCGTTGATTGCTCTGAAGTACGATATTTTTATCTTAGGCGTGAAGATTCCTCTCTTAAATTTGACTCTACTACAGGTGATTATCAGTTAATCCCCCATAATTTCGTTCCTAGTCGTTCCTAGTATTGGTATCCCCCTCTAGTTTCAATTCATCCTCGCTAGCTCTTCCTCTTACAATCTTTCATAACCTGATTATGACTAATCTAAGCGAGCTAGTTCAAGACCATCAGTGGCAGGAATTATGGACTACTATGTCAACTGATGATCTTTCGTATATTCGTGTAACCAATCGTGTAACCAATGAAAAAGAGCCAATTTGCAATTCTGTGATGCATAACACTCGTTCGTTTTCGCTTTGGACTACAGTTTTTGGTCCTTGGTCAGCCTTCGACATTTGGATCACCTTTTGTGGTATTCTTGTTACCCTTAGCTTAATTAGACCATTTATTATTCTATATGGCAATATATATTATCCGGGGCTGCTCCCACGTCTCCGAGAGCAGCTCCCGCTTTCAATTGCTACTAATCGCCAAACGGAGCCAGTTATCACGTAGGCACGCCCTTCGGTATCCTCTATCTCTTCTCAGCCGGTAGAACTGGCATGTCTTGAAATTGATGCCTCTTCGTCTTGACCACCTCGTGCACTAATGAGTTCCATAGATGTGTTGTACTTATCTCATCGTGATCGCTTTTTCGCAGCTCAAATAACTATTCGTGTCAATCAAGTGCAATTCTTGGCCTCAGTAGACACCGGAGCATCCATTACTCTCTCTCTACTGTTGACACCATTCCTCTCTTCGGAGCATTTAAACTTCTTCAAAGCGATGTTACTAGTGCAGTAGGTATGGCAGGAGTCCCCGTACAGCTTTTGGAGTGTGCGACTCTTTCGTTCGAAAACGGTTCCCTATCTTTTGAACACCCCGTCTATTTTACTAAGTCAGCCTGTATTCCCGATGTGGCGGACGCTTAAAATATCATTCTTGGTAACGATCTTCTTAGGCGCTTGCCGCCATGGTCTACTGATTACAATAACTGTCCCTTCGTAGGTGTGAGCCGCGCCGTGCAAGGGCGGCTACCAGCTGATGATGTTACAAGATGACTCATCATGGAATTTCAGGGCGGAGCGGCCACCGAGAAGAACTTCAACGAGGAGTCGACGGCAGCTCGCCACCGAGGACGGCAGCCCCGAGCTTTCTTCCTCTCTGGGGGCGAAGCCCTGGTCACCACGAATACATCCTCCTTGATCTCAGCCTGTGTTTCATGTTATGTAATTATTATGTTGTATGACTGGTCGTTATCATGTAATTTGTTGATTCCTGTTGTTATATGATCGTCTATTTTTGGTGTTATTATGATAAATTATATATGATCTAATAGTTTCCTACAGAAGCAAAGACTGAGCCCGCTTTACTATGTCGTTTGGCGCGGTCCTTCGCAGCACGTTGCCACTGGGGCGCATGGGCTTCCATTGGAGTGACGGTACAGAGCGGAAGCCCCAAAGAGCATCCTCCGAATTCTGCAGAATTTCTGTAGACAATAAATTTTACTTCACGGCATAATCTCATTTGAAAGCCAAAATTTTCACCCGCCACATATACGACGCTTTAAAAAGAGACTCTCGGCAATTATACGTTGCGGCTTTCGGGCAGCTAGGGGTCACGCGGTGCATTTTTGAGAATGGCGCGCAAACTATATTGCGCCCCAATGCCAGAGAAACAGAAGGCAAATAACTAAAACCGCCACGCAGCCGCACGCGGGTGGCGGAGAAGGCTCTTTGGGGCTTCCGCTCTGTAGCACCACACCTTCCATTGCCACCCATACGACGCAATTGCTGTGTCAACCAACTCGTCCAAATCAGTCGGCCTCTCGATTTACGACCAGCTATCGAACTAATTAGAGTTTCTTCGCACATAGGTGCGAGGCGACCCTGATTAAGGGTGAAGACTGAGGGGTCACCAAACTAATTAGTCGTCCTCATTAATCGAGTAGTAAGGAAGGAAATTGCAAAAATTTCAAGGAGTTATTAGTTTCATTCATTCCTTTATGCTAATTATTATATCAGTAATATACATTTCTATAGTCTACATTACTATAGGAGATTTCTAGATTTCTATATTTCTATAGGAATATATCAGTAACGTACAATTACATAATATATTCATTCACACTCAAAGCACGACGTAGCACGTTCCAGCTTACTGTTTTTCTGCTCCTAGAGATAAAAAGGTCAATTCTGTGGAATATATCAGAGCAATCTCCATTTGTACTCAGCATGACTTGACAGTATCCTTCCATATTCTTGTGAGATTTCACTCTTGTCGGATATTGGGCATTGGCTGAATCCGCTACGACTTTATTTCCACCTATAAGGTAAGGGCTGTGAAATCGAAACAGGTGAAGGAGATTTATGATAATTTGATGGGGATGTTCCGTTCCGAAAACCGCTCCAGGCACTTAATGCCCTGGAAGAGAATGGGTTAGATGCACATTTAACCATCATCTTCACCTAGGCACGAAAATGATTTCTGAAGCCAATAACTTAATATGCTCTATCTTCTTCTCAAACCATTATTCCATATATAATCTTTACAGTGCCTTCACTTCCAACTAGATTAATGAGGATGTTTCGGAGTTTAATGACCCCCTGAGTCTTCACTCCTAATCAGGGTCGCCTCGCACCTACGTATGTGCGAAGCAAGTCTAATTAGGCCGTTAGCTGATCGTAATCCGAGAGG